AATGCTTATCAGCCTAACACTCATAGCTGAAAAATTATCACTCATAACCAAAAAGGGTAAATATGATGGTTGGTGAATAATTTTAAAGAACAGGTACGGTTTCAATACAAATCTGGTCCTATATTTTTCTAAAATATAAGTGATGTAAGAAATTAAAACTCATGCTTTCTGAATTGTTGAAACTCCATGCAGAAAGAACATACAAGTCGTTTTTCTCATATGACCTCCTAGTCCGACATATCTGACGTTTTCCTGTTTTTTTTTTTGTTTTTTTGTTTTTTTGTTTTTTTTTTGTTTGTTTGTTGTTGTTTTTTTTTTTTTCATGATTTTGATATTTTACATGCCAGGAAAACGTCCGGCGCCATTACGAAAACTGGAAATTTCTCCGTCTCAAACCGGAGTTGATTTTCGATACTTGCAAACCGTATTAAATCAATTTATCAATAGCACAATGCGTCTAGTACTCACCAATATCGATGTAAAGAAAACATCACTCCATTTCTATACAGGACTTGCAAGATTTTAAAATGCACGAAATGAAAACAAATTTCGACAGTAAGAAAAAATGTTTTCATCGGACTGTATATTTTATAAACGAACCATAAAAACTATGTTGATGAGAATTAAAAGTATTATACTATTGATAAGTTGTGAGATTTAATTCGGTTCGCAAGTATCGAAAATCAGCACGAAAATGCCGCCTCCGGTTGGAGGCGGCGAATTCCCAGTTTTCGTAATGGCGCCAGTTCTGGCGTTTTCCTGGCATATAGAATATCAAAATCGTGAAAAAAACCAGGAAAACTTCAGATATTTCGGACTAATGACCTCCTAAAGGCTAATTGTGAGATCATGAACTTGTGCATTTTCCCCAATTTTATTAAAAAGCTCCAGAAGACATCAATTTTCAGTGGAATTTTCTCTTATGTAATTCATGTAATTTAGAGCACATTCATCGCCCACAAAGATTTTCAAAAATATGATTTTTCAAAGAATTTTACACAACATATCTGAAAATTGCTATGGGCGACGGCTGTGGACATTGTTTTCTAAAGAAAAATAACCCCAGAAATGAGTCATTTTGAGGCTTTTTCTGTTAAAAAATTAGATATATACCAAATTAATGACGACATATTTCGAGAATGGTCCTCCTTCATCATAATGTATTCTTTCATGGTTTATCACATTCATATACATAAGTCATATTTAAGCACATTTCATAACTTTTAGGAAACATTAATTTTTTTAGGGCACAATAAAGCCTAAACCGTTCATGAACCTTTTTTGGTGTATTCATTAAAAAAAATATAGATAGATGTCACAGGGCTCAATTTTTAACATAACATGATTTTGTGAACTGCTTATTAATAAATGCATATTTTGGAAATAAATATGTTGGTACTATGCAAATCATCAATCATGAATATAAAAATGTATACATGAAATAGTAAAGTTCTTCATAATTTTTGTATGCACCTTTATTTAGTCGCGATCTATCTTTAATTCCAAAATGTGCGATAAATTAATTTGCAAAACCATGTTAGATAAAACGTTTTTCGAGCGTATAAAAAAAAGTTTGCGATTTTTCCCTTGTGCTTATTGTAATGCCTTTATTTTTCCTAAAAATCCTTATACATGTAAAGAATAATTGGGGATATAAACATTTGTACTGGACAGGTATGTTTTCTGTGTCATATCTGGCAATTGTTGGGGCGAAATGAAAGAATTTCGAGCGGTTCTACCAAACCTACAAAAAGGTAACTAGTTATATGAGGCAGGTTTTACTTAATACTGAAGTCTTTCATGCATCCTCTTACGACAAAAAAAATGCTGACCGTCAAGGAATACTTTTTAGGATGATCAATGCTTTTTAATGATTTGATGATTAAAATGCTGCTCATTGTGTGATATAAGATATTGAAACACAATTATAGTTTATGTTCTGTCAAAACAGATCTAGAATATCTGGTATATTTAGAGAAGAATGTACAAACACTGATCTCTCCTCTAAACGTACTTATTTTCAAATAAGCAGGATATCAAGGTTTTCAATACCTATATAAGTTATTTGTTTCTGCTATAAAAAATGTGTTCAACAATCAAGAGATATTAATTAGTTAAATTTTGGGGGACTGAATAAGAAAAAGTATTATAAATAAGATGGAAAAAAATATTTGAAAAAAAAAACAATAATTGATTTTCTTTTAAATGCAAACCTTGAATAACAGAACGTTAACTTACCTTTGATTAAACTCTTTTCAGTTATTCAGATCATGATGACGTGCCATAGGAAAATGCAAGAAGGCATTTATAAGCTGTTAATTTTTATACGAGACCTTTCATCACAATATTCATTTTTAAACTATTCTTAACTAATAATTTTAAGTGCATAAAACAGGAAGAGGGAATCCGTAGTAAGACGTACGCTACAAGAGGAAGGACAAATCTGTATACTGTACAGTTTATTCTGTGTATGCAAAACAAGGATGAATATTAAATATACAAAAGTTGTCCTCTTTAAGAAAATGAAATCATCCAATTTAATGTCTCAGTTTCTTATTGAGATGCGACTGCTTTTAATCTTTTAGAATTTTTGGAATTATTGAAATATGTAATGTATGACCCGCCATGATCATTTCCGTCTTCTGTCCTTAAAATTCCCCCTGTACGTATACGTACGTCACTCTTTAATTTGCGTTTAGCTCAGTTTGAAAGAAAAATATTCAAAATATTTTTATCAAAACTTGCATGTTGATAAATATTGGTAAGAACTATTTAAGTGCATCAATATTTTTAACATTGACTTTTCCTTTGGCCTTCACTCCACTTTCTTAAATTTGTGTTAAGGTCGGTTTAAGAAACGTCATATATACGTATATATTTTGATGAGTACATTTCAACTGCTTTAGCATTTTTTTATTTTACCTTGACATTTTCTTTGACATTTGACCTTATTTTTCTCAAATTTGATTGATCAATTTGATTTTATGTCCCATTCGAAATTTTTTCACTCATATAAATACGTCATCAAATACGAAAGGCTTCAAATTTAGACCTTTACTCGTGACTAAGCGCCATTAAACAGCGAGGGCTTTTGGGAAGGGGGGGGGGGGGCAATGCCTTCCGTGACATGGGACCTCGAACGTCAAACTTCATATGCTGATACATATAGAGAAAGTTTAACAACACCAAAATTTTTTTTTACTTATACCTGCTTTTTGAGCTTGACCTCACTTTTCTTAATTTTGCATTTTGCTCAGCTTCAAAGAAACAATTCAAGATATTTTTTATCTAACTTCCTAAGCCGCTATATTTTTGTGAGTGTTATTGAACTACATCAAAAATATTTGCCCTTAACCTTTCCATTTACCTTGACCTCAGTTTTCTTAAATTTACATTTACATGTACTTCAGTTTCAAAGAAACTTTTAAAGATATTTTTATCTAAACATATATACTGAAACATACATGTATATAGCGAGTTTAAGTAGTCTGTCATATTTGATTCATCATTACACCTTGTACCTTGTTTTGTAAATAAGACCTCTAAATCTTTTCATCCCTTCCCTTTTTCGGTTTCTTCGATATTCCAAGCTATTCCTTACAATAGATCATCCTGGTTACATATACATGTGTGAATATGTAAACAAAAAATGTATATGTAAAATGCTATTGAAGTTACAAATCTTGTTACTGGGAGTTAAAAATTACCTTGTGTAAATAATTCGATGAATAGCCATGACTTTCGCTAAAGAGAATAAATATGTTTGTCCGTACAGGATTTTTATTTATTGAAATATTTCAGAAAGTTGTACATGTAGATTTTCAGAATATCACTTAAAGCTCTAGACTTTGTTTTATTTTGATTGATGTCCGAATTTAAATTATACCAATCTTACTCCGATAAGTGTCGTTTCACACATACTGTCTTCAAAAAAATATTTTTTTTTTTCAATTTAAATCTGTATGTGACAATCTGTCATATACAAATTTAAATTAAAAATTCTAATTTTTTTGTAGAAGACAATAAGGGTAACCCTAATCACTGGGAAAGAATCCTTCAAGGAGACAGGTACAGAGCACATGTTGTGTTACACTAATGTTGTAAGGACAGTAAAGATTTTTTTTTTTTTTTTTTTTTTTTTTTTTTTTTTTTTTTGCTTTGGGAGGGCCATATATTTATAAATCTTTATACATCAAATTATGTATATTCCCATTTAAAACGAGAATGGCCCAGTAAGGACCGGGAATCAACGGTATTTCTACCGATCTCGAAAAGCTAATCTTATTGTACGATTAACAAAATATCTGCGCGCTAAAGGTGTCAGGTGAATCGATAGTCAAAATTAAATAGTGTATTTTGTATCGGAAAAAAAAAACTTTAATTTGTCACACTTTTTAAAAACAAATTTGAATTAATTCTATAAAATAAATTAACAATCATTGGATATAGCGACCTGTAGATGGTAGGCGGGGTCGAATATGTGGAAACATTAGATACCGGAAGTGTCGTGATAATTAAGCGTTTCCTATACAAACTGATGAAAGACAGTTAATCGAATTGAAATTGCAATAAAGCGGATTCTTTGGGGCTTTAAATGAATTGGTGTCATGACTATCCCGGAATATATCGTTAAACACACAGCTTGCACATTCGCCGTGTCAATTAAAATACGGTTCCGAATTCAATCCGTTTAATGTATTTAAATGACGGCTCCGAACGGATATTAAATTTCAGTAGATTAAACGCCACTTTTTAAAATTCATTAACATTGGCGCTTGCACTCTGATCGGTTTATTAAAACAGCAGCGAACAATATAGGTAGTGCTTTGAACATAAAGAAGGATTAAACATTAATTCGCACCTGAATTATGTAGCGGTAGCCTTTTAAGTAGATGGCAGTTCGATTTCGTATTGCTTTTGACCGCAACTGAGGTTTTATTCACCCCCTAATAGAGATAGTAAATTCTGGTACCGAAATATAAATACCGATGCTGACAGAGTTCTATTTAAGAATGAGAGGATTTTCTTGATTTATTTTAATTTTTTAGATGGATTTTTACATCGTTTTAATGTGGTAAGTTAACGTTATTTGCGATGTAAAAAATCATATCTGTCTTGATGTTTTTTGCGTTTTTTTTTAACAATATGAAGATTTTTTCCCCTTAGTTTACAGAATAAAGCAGAGGTATTATAATATTGTATATTCTTTTTCTATGAGATGATGATATTATCATATTACGTTGAGTTTCAACAGTCATAATTAGGCAATCCATAATATTATCCTATGTCAAATTTGAAGAGTCAAACGCAATCCATATCTTCATACAGAATAAGAGTTGTGATCAACTAATAAGAAACTAATTCTTTTTTTCTTTTTTCATTTTTTTCATCCCTCAACAGAGCCATAATGGATATATCGTTAACACCGTTTAAAAGACGTTACGTAGAAAATTGGCGAAAAGACGTTCAGAAACACCTAGAAGAAGGTTCTATATGTCGTATAGTCGTGGCACAAATAAACAGGTGAGATGAGCCGAAAGGATTCTCTTTTCATTTTTTGAAATAATTGACCAGCAGTTTTCGCCATTTCAATAGCTGCACACACTGGAAGAAAGTTTAATGTCTGATTACTACAACAATAATTTAACTACTGATTTTGAAATGTCCCTTTTTTCTCTCTTTTTAGTGAAGATGAAGACAATTCAGATAGTGCACCGAAACCTACAACACCTCTTCCCCCTCCATCGGGAAATCGCGCGAAGCAAGTCTCGCGAGAAAAAACGCCAAACGAGAAGTTAGCAGATATGGCAGTTAGTAGTTCTCTTCACATCCAAGCTCTCCCATCAGTCCGATTCATGTACACTAATGCCATGGAACAGAAGAAAAATTCTGAAAAACTTTACGGAGGTTTTCCCGTTGCAGGTCGGCAAAGTTCGCGGAAAGACGCTCAGGAAACTGTTAATTCACAGGAAGATGAAACCGAGGCTAAGCCTCTCGTCATCGTTGACCCTCAGCTGATGACTCCAATTGACCATCCAGAATTGAGTACGCAAGAAAATAAAAAACCAAACGGTAAAGACGTTCGTTTTCCGATGAAAATTTCCTCCTTAAAACCTCAGGTTGAGTCCAAGAAGTACAGTAGATTGCCCCTCTTTGCCAAATGTAAAATTCAATCTACAGAGAGAAATAGTTTTGTGGTTTCACGATCAAATTTCCTGAAAAACGGGAAAGCAAAGAATCACAGCTTCTTAACACTACCGGTGCGATTCCAAGTTCAAGCTCAGACGAATGAACGTTTGATTCAGAGTTCTGAAAATTACATTCTTAAAGAGAAAACAAATTTATCACAAACTCCAAGGAACGATGCGAGATCCCCACGAAAGGTAGATTTTCCCCTCCCTACACCCCGCGTAGCATCCAACACTGTCTGGGCGTGGTAGGGCGGAATAATTCTGTTCCATTTCGTGACAATTCCAAAGACTTTTTTTGTTTTTGTTAAATTGATATACCTAGGTCACTTTTGTTCATTAATTGAGATATTTTGGATTTTTTTCCCATAAAAATTAGATTATAATCGTCAAATATCTTCGAAGACACATAGAACAATGGTACTTGCTTTGAATATTTTTTTTTTTTTTATCAGGGAATCCATTATATAGACAGCACTGGTAAGAAAGGTTCTTAATATTTTCATAAGATCAAAGAATTCAGTTTACATTTAGTGAACGTTAAGTATATACATGTACCAGATATAAAAATATGAATTATATCATCCTATGATTATTTAAGTTTAAAGACTGAAAACAGAATCGTACATAGATTTCTATCTGTATATGAAGCCGACCCCATGGTTATTATCGAAAATACAGCTTGGATGTTTGTTTGGAAAAGGAAATTGTTGTTTTAATTTTACACTCTTGTTTACTCTTTCAAATATTTTTCCCCTTATACTTGTATGAGTATTGCAAATATATGTTGTGAAATAAATTATTTTACATGTCAAAAAAAAAATTCCACCTGTCAGCATACGTGAATATAATAAATCCTTTTTCTTTGTGACAATGAAGTTGAAGGTAAATGCTAATCTTGAGTGGAATAATTTGAGGACTTGTTTTGAACTGTATAGTAAGTTAATTGAATCTCCTATCAGGGTTTAAACACGTAGACACTTGTACATTATAATCCTCTACAGAAGATATTGGCATTTAATTAAACGTGCCCATTGTGAAATAGCATTAAGTTCTTATTTGTACACTGACCTTGAATAATCATTTTTGGGCCATTATGAAATAAAATATATGTTGACCTTTAATATGCATCAATATTTTATGTATCGTTTAAAAAACATTTTCTATCGTTTTTCATTATTAAAAGATTCAAGGACACGTTTTGAGTAATTTGTTTCTTTTCTGCTTCTTAAATAAATGGTTTTCTTTTATGGAATGATGTATCCAAAGTTTGAGTAGAACAAATTGAGAAGATTCATTTAAATTATACCTGAAATATCTATCTGTTGAAAAAAAGAAAAGCTGAAAAGACAACTGTAAACTGGATATAGTAAGTACGATTTTCAACTAAAGAAATCAACAGATGAAAATTTATGAACACCAAAGTTCTCTTGATAATTATTTATTTTAATACACGTTGAATATAGAATCTTAAAAATTCTTATACCAAGTGACGTATTTCATCATTATGTGTTCATGTATGATGCACTCGTCAAAATAATATTGAACAAATTTAATGTCTTTTTACATAATTATCTAAAAACTTCAATTAAATAAGAAAATATTGATCACATTCATTTGAAAATTTTCAGATCCTTTTTTGCATCAATTAATTCTGGCACGTCTAATAAAATATTACAAGGGTAGATTAAATGCATATTTCTGAATTTAATGTAGGTTTAATAAGCATACATGTATATATACATCTTTAAGTGGGATTTAAATGATCAAACATACAGTATCCCTATTTCAAAAGCTATACTTAAGCCCAGGTATCATTCCAATCATCGATTTAAAGATGTCTGATTTACCATGACGTACATGAAATGACTCGATTTAAAAATCATAATAAAATCAAGACATTTTATCGCTACATAAATCTTTTTTAAGTGCATCTAGAGATAGTCGAGAGTTTATAAGTGCTTTAGGATTTATAAATACATTGTCTTTCATATCTTGGTTCCCTTGTGCGGCCTCCTGAGATTTTCCCAGAATTCCCTGAGATATTGCTTCATGTGCTTCAACATCTTGCACTATACGCACATCACGTGATAGACATTAAGTTGATTCGCTCGATATTTACCTGGAATAAAATAATAAGTTGAAAAACAAGTAAATGTTATAATATTTTGTGCATTGTATCCATTGGCGTCGGAAGCAAATTGAAAAGGGGGGGGGGCTAATTGAAAGAGAAAAAATTTCAAACCTGAAAAAAACTTGACAAGCAAAAAAAAAAAAAAAGGAAAATGTGTCCTTTGTCCAAACCCAAAAATTCATTTCGTTGGGGGGGGGGGGGGGGGGGGTAGGGGGTAGGATCGAACTTCTTTCTGTACCAAATTTATTTTTCAAACACTACCACTTACCCTTCTTTGACTGCACTGCAACTTGCCCATTGACAGTGCAGTGGGGGGGGGGGGGGGAGGGGGGGTCTACGCCCCAATGTTCAATGCCTATATGATGTCTATCTTTGCAAAAAAAAAAGGGGTGGCTAAGCCCCCCGGTTCCGACGCCTATGGTATCTATTGTTATAAAAGAAGAAAAAAAACGGATATATTTCATATTTCATAGTTCGCTTGCGGTACAAATGTACAGCACCAGTTGTTACCGCCTCTTTAATATAAACCAAAGACTTTCAAAAACGTGTCTCGATGACAGCTTTGTTATATTAAAAATAGACATATTTATATTTGCATGCAGTGTTTTCCTCTGAATTCCGTTTGCTCATGGAAATTTTATCTTATAAAATTGACATACACGCATGTCCCAATAAACGAATGTTTTTTTTCCCTTTCTTTTGCTTCTCAGAACATTCAAAACTTGCCGTTTCTGTTATTTTATTCACATTATTACATTAAACTTACATGCAGTTTTGTATTCCGTTCTCTCTGCGCATGTCACGTGTCTGTAGTCCTCACATCTCAAGGTCTGCAAAGAAAAGAGGTCCGGAAAGGGACACTCTCTCATGTGCTGCACAAAATTGGGAGGGATGGTATTGTATTTGGTGGAACAGTCGTAATATAACTGACATTCCCTTGGATGGGGAAGTACTAAGGAGGAGTTTTGCCTGCATAACTTCTGGACGTGTAGATCTACAAAATATAAAATGTCGAGGTCACCAAGGGTGCTCTAACACCCCTTCCAGTTTTTGGTTTTTTTTTTTTTTTTTTTTTTTTAAGTCTAGGTTTCCAATCCCGATACATACAGAACATATCAATTGTAATTCATCGCAAATTGAAGAGATCCTCCTATAATGTATTTTTATTTCTTCTTTGCTCCAAGTAATGTATTTCTTTTCAGAAACACGATTTTCATGATATTTGAAAATTTCTTGTGCACAGGGAAAACAGACATGGCCCAGATATTGATTCCATATCGCTCCAAATGAAAACTGATACGACAATTTAGCTAATAAATAAAATTTCGATATATTGTCAAAAATGACAGCTTTCCTGAATGTTCTAGCAAATGTGTTAATCTTATAGCACGGTATATTTTTGGAATTTCTTTTTTCCCACAGATTATATCGTATTGAGATACCGGTAATTTTTATTGTCTTTATCCTCGTGGCTAACTTTTTAAATCGGGAACACCAGTGCACTGGAATGTTAAGGTTGAATTGACTGCATGCAAGTTACAGCTTCTGTACAACTCGAATACTCACCGAAAGCGGTTTCTTTTCCAAATATTGTGGCTAATTTCATTAATAAAATAATTGTTAGAGCACTGAAAATTCCATTTATATCCATGATGATCGAGGAGACCGGACGATAATGCGTTCTTATTTCAGTGTTAATCGGCGGAAGAGAGAAGAGAGAGAGAGTGTTTCCAATATTTAAAGAAAAAGGAAACAATAATTCCTAAGGGGACCATACCATCTGTTTCCATAAAGTGATCTTTTCTCACGATCAGAGCTCCTTAAGTCACGCTTCACACTACTGAATGTTTTTTGGTTGTGATGAATGATAGAGAAATGACAAATTGCTTTTTATTCAGGAATAATGGAAATCGATAAGTTAACAACGAGAAATCGAAGAACTTAAAGTACAAGTTCAGTTACATGTAGGAGACGGAAATATAATCGCCATTGTAACAAATATATAATTAAAGTGCATACCTTGTATGTTGTATTTTCGTGTTCACATATACTTACTATTAATTTATGGGATAAAACTAATTGCATATTGTCTGTTTCCATACGTACCCTCTACCCTAATGCACTGATTGAGTATGTTGAATTAAACAGAGTCCTATCTCTTGACGTATTGTATAACATGTCATGGACCCAAACTTTTGTTATTATGAGAATAACGAAGAGTAATCAAGCTCAAGAGTGGATTGGGACAATACAATTGAGAGCAGAGTAAACACGGACCTATGCAAAATTAGATGTGGGATTAGGAGCCATGGAGGAGTAAAGATCTCCTGTCGACCGGTCACACCCGCCGTGTCGTCATGATCGGGCAAACGGAAATCGGTGTGAACCAAACAATGAGTGAATACACACAATAATTGATCAAACCAAGCATAAGAGGAAAAACAGTTTCAGGTTTTATTCTATCTTTATTTAATACACGATGTGTGTACAATTTCTAAAGTGACCTTCACCCGTACCACGAATTCATCAGCCTCTCCCTGTAACAGTGTATCATCCACTTACTGCCCCTCCTTATTGGATGTTCGTGGGTTCCATCTCTGTACCCCTCACAGCTAGGGTAGCGTATGAAGCAGGGAATACAATGCGAACGTAAGCACTGGTTGGCAAAGTAGTCACCTACAAGATGGATCAGAACCTGGTAATTGGTTGTTGAGATTGACAAATAAATTTGCGGAATTTAAATTTTTTTGCAATTTTGAGGATAAAAGAAAACATAATTAGAGTCTCTGAATAAGGTATTCTTCAAGGTTAACTTCCTGGAAATTATAGGTTCTGAATTCATTGAGAAAGAATATTTCATTAAATCGTAGAATTCAGAGAATGAAAATTATGAATAGGCTTGTTATAGTGTAAGAATTAAATTTCTGTATATTTTAAAACTTTATGTAAATAACATATTTATTGAAGCATATTTAAGTTTCTTCAAGTAAAGTGATCCAACTTTTCATGTTACTCTTTTTTTTTGGGGGGGGGGGGGGGGGGTCAGCGACGCATCACAATATAGGGGGAAATCCTATACCTTTTACTTACATCCAGACTTATATTCTTTTCTTTTTCCACATTTGACGTAAAAGAACATTTCACACTTTAAAGTCTGTGCATTAAACAGTTTCGGATACGGACATTCACGGAATCCTTTATCCCAGGGTCGGTACAGGGGACCGGAAGTAGAACTGCAATCATAGTAAGCCTGGCAATACTCCGGATGTGCTATAAATCCATAATCGTAATCTCCACATATCGGTATTCCATTTGCTGAAACGAGAATTTAATGATTAACACATTCTGGGATTTGAATGTGAAGACGTGATTAAGACCTAAACAGATACTTCTGCGAAATAATTAGCAAGCGTTGAGCTAAATGATTTTCATATATTCTTAACCTGATGTAAGGACAGTCTATTTATGCAGAAAAGCAAGGTAATTCATATTCGCTGAAGGATTTGCATCGACACATTAGAGTACACTAATTTCATAGACATTTAAATTTGAAGCGTTGCTTTCCCAAAAATTTAACTGATTTAAATTTTAATGAAGTTTACAGAAAATGAAATCGCTTTATATATTTACTCAGATGCAGCAATTATTTTGTTTACCTCGTTGAACGCAGCAATGTTAAGGTTTACTACGAAGAAATCAACGAAATATGAACGTGCATAATACATACCTTTTTAAACCGAATTTATTTTTGTAAAGCTACTAGATCATCACATGAATTTACTATTAATTGAAATGGCATTGTATACCCTGCTCTGTATTGAATTTAAGTTAAAGCTATAGTTATGAAATAATCTCTAATCTTTTTGGGTTTTAGTTACAGATTATAGGAACAAATTGTAAAATCTTGTTCTGCTAGAGTTTTTAAGCTTCACCATTTTTCGAATACTTGTAATATATTTCCTGAGCGAGTGTCTCTCCTATCCCCTATATTTTTTTTTTAACTTTCATACTTTTTATTGAGATTTAGAAGTACAATTTAATCTAATTTCCTCTTTGACAAGCTATATTGTTCAAACATATTGCATATTTTAGGAATTTTGGAAACAAAACACAACCAGTTTACTTAAGAACCAAGCTGTATTTTACCGTCTTTGGTCACACGCCTTTGATCAACACTTTTATATTTATATCCAAAATGTCCTCCGGAATAGCAGAAGTTGGTAGCAAATATTATCACATAGATCCCCATCAAAAACATGGTGAATATTATAGCTTTTTAACTGCATGACAGTAAATGTTTGCTTGTGACATATGCTCAAAGTATCAAGTTCCCCATTATCGTGTGAGAGCTTCGTGCTCTGAGCGGATAACTTCCTCTTTTTATAATTTGGTCCAACTACCATATTTACATTAATTTATACATTATCAATTTGTCAAGTGAAATAATTGTAATCTTAGATGGCATAAATTAATAAGATTTTTTTTCCGTAATAATAATTGTGGATTGCCTCACATATTGCTTATTTTTAGATAATAGATGTATGATAAGTATTTATTTCCTCCTCGGAGTAGAACATAATTTGTTTTTTTTAAGTAAGGGATATGTACAAGTAATTATAAAAAAAAAAAAAATAAAAGTACACCTTGTTACCTCGTTTTTTCTTTGTAAACGAATCGTGACATAGGACCTACTATTGATTTTGCTTCAATTTCCCATTAAACTTCGTTATATAAAAGCTGTCGTCTAATATACATTATTCGATACGGGGAATTCAAATTTTTATCGATAATAAATGCTTCTTCTACATTTATCGACGCACATGGAACTAAACATTAACAAAATCAACTTTTATAACAGAAAAAGTTTAATTCCTCTTTTTCTTTCTGAGGCCTTTTTTTAACCAGAAATATTTACATTTTCTTTAGTTGACAGCTGTCGTCAGCAGCGGTTAAATCAGTGCTATGTTAATTTTTTCACACTTACAAAGGTACATCTAATTTTTACGATCTGACAAAAAAAAACTTCCTGTAAATAATTATCTGCCAAAATTTTGTGAATTTTTGTAACAAAAGCTTACATTTTTACAATATACTTGTAACTGTTTCTTATTCGGTTTCGAAATTCTGTCTGTTTTTTTTTTTTTTTTTTTTTTTTTTAATTACAATGTGTTAATGAGACTGCAGAATTATAATTACTCTGGTTTAATTTTTCTTTACTGCAGACGTCTCATGAAACTTGACACATATACAGTTGACTTTATCTAATAACATCATCCTATTTTTTAATTCATGCGAATTCTTTCGGAAAAAAAGTGATGTCGGCTTTGTTACAACTCACTTTGAAAAATTACGCACTTTGAAATTTTTTTTCAAAGTGCGTATTTTTTTTTCAAAGTGCGTTGCCACACGCCTTTCATATGAATATATTACTGATAAAAAAACAATTCCTCGAAATGGTTCTATTTAAAATTTGTATTTCCGAGATAAAGGGAGACATATCTTTTTTTAACAATGTATTTCTTAATCAAAGAAGTATATTTTTTTTTCTATGACAATCTTCTTGGTTGTACTCTAAAGTATCAACCCTTCCCTAGACGTATCTCCAATGGGAGCTATAAGTGATTAAACCTTAAAACTATTCATTACATACTTAGTAATGATTACAAGTTTTTGCATAATTATGTGATATGCCTGCAGTCACAATAGCCGTATCAGCTTCCAGGGTTGATACGGTTCCTGCAGGGTTGATATGGATCTGCCGGGCGATATGGATAAATATCACACCCCTTGTAAATCAAATCATTCAAAAGAGTATCACACTTATATTTCCTTTTCACATTCAGTGTCAAAAAAATGCATTAAATTTAAAGCACTAGTATATGATAGAATAAGCTACATGTAGTAAGAGATTATTTATTTGTAATTGTTCAAGTAGATATTACTTAGTATGTAATAAATGATACATGTAATTATAAAGCTTTCGGTTTATATCTCAAGGATTATCAAATTTCCTATATGTATATTTATATCTGATCTATGAATGAGTAGTTTTTATCCTGTATATATCTCAATGAATCTCAAATTTCCTGTATATAACCTCAGCGATTGTTAATTTTACTGTATATATCCCAGTATATCTCAATGATTTTCTCTGTGTTTATCACAGAATTATCTTTTTTTCCTTTATATATCAATGATTACATTTATATACTTATTTTTGTTTCCGTCTCTTCATGCAGGCCTCTCGGGGTTTCTAACATACGAAAAATTAAAAGCTTTGGTGGGGTCAGAGCTTACATAGTTATTTGAAATTTCTGAGTGTATTGCAAAGGATCAAAGTCAATATTTCACACAAATCCACTTCAAATACAACAGGAGTATTCAAAAAGTGTAAAAATTTATTATGGCGTGGAAGCATCTGCTTTTTTTCATTTGGTCCATCTGCCAAAAGTGATTTATAAGCGTTATCGAATTGTCTCGTTAAAATACCAATTTTTTTTCTTACTTGTGATAAAATGATTATAGACAAACTCCATCAAGGGCCTCGGCGAGAAACTATTGAATTTCATTTGTACACAAATTTCAAAAATATGTATTATCAAGTCACATTCATTCAATACAATACAAAATTTTTGCCTTATTTTTCACTGGTAAATAACCTTCATACACATTATTTTGGATGTTATACAAACATAAATTCCCGCTTTTCAAGGGCGGGGGGGGGGATATAACTAATTGATTGTATGTTGATTTACACCCCGATCGAGGATTTTTTCACTCATATAGAGACATCACCATATACCGGTGAAAGGCTTCAAATTAAGACCTTTACTCGGCACTCAGGGCCATTTAGGAGTGAGGAATCTTTAGCGTGCCAACGCCTGCCGCGACACGAGTTTTAGGGTCTTATCTGAAAGACCCGCAACTTTCTGTCGAGTGCTTGGCGAAGGAGCAATTGCTACCTATTTTTTATCGACCTAGGTCAATGAATTGTGGCTGGGTTACTAGCGCTGCATGTAGAATTTCCAGAGAACAGCTACGATTCCTGCTTTCTACTTGACAGAGGAAATTAAAAACAATCTTCTCCAAGAATGATATTTTGTGATCAGTGCTAAATATGTTATCAATATTCACCCCATCCAGTCCGTTGACAACATTAGTTTCTTACTTAGAGCTTTTGGGTCCATGTACTATATATCTTTTTTTCATACCCATGAATCATAAATGTTATTTCACTCACAAATAATAACAATGTGTGCATTTTACACACTAGCGAAAGGTGTCCAGTAGGTGACAATGACTGTAAAATTAATGGCTTAAACAAAATCCCAAGGGGTTCAGATTATCTTGCAAATGCTTTAATGAAGACATCAGCGAAAGAAATGTAATATAATAAAAGAACGACTTATTTTTGTAATGTACAACCAAACAATACAATTTAAGCAAAATTGTCATTAAATGAAGGAACTTGTACAAATACACGTGTCTTCATACATGTACATGTATTCATTTTTTTGTAAGTCAGTTCTTATCCCATGGTACAGTTGGAGATCGATAGGTCGTCAATGACGAAACCTCCCATGCGGCCCTCTTTTCGAGTTGCTGTGATGATAATCTAAAACAGTTGATGGAAATAAATAATATGCAAGTGTATTGCTTGGTAATCGCCTACATTAATATGACACCTGGAGCGCGTAAAAGAAGTAGATTTAGAAACTTCCGCCTAAAATTGACACCACGTGTCCAATCTCGTCCATACCAAAAATTCTGTGTAAAAAAAAAACATATATATTACCTGAAAATACGACGACCGTTCTCCAATTTCCAGTGACCCCTTCTGCCAATAGTCTCCCCGGTATTCAGAAATATTCAACGAAGTCGATGGATTCCAAGAACTGTTACCGGAGCTACTTATCTTAACGTATAAAGGCCCTACATCTGAATAGATACATATAAAACAATACTAATTAATGGAATGATTATGTTTATCATAAAAATATAGCAATCAAATTTGACAACACTTTTTTCGAAACAGAATAAAATGTCATAACACCTCCTTTTCCATAAAAATTATTTTTAAAAAATAACATTATCTTAGTTAGACAAAGTTATTTATGTGAAGATAATTTACTTTTTTCTCTATCTGGATTAAAGAAGTAATACCAGAACTCAAAGCAGAGACCGCTATCTACTGGCGCATAGTATGGCGAAAACAGTGACGAGTTACCAGGAATTCTCGTCCACGTCCCCACTAATAGTACGTGGTCACCTACAGTAAAAATTTACATTTCTCATAAATTTAAATATAAATAGAGCATGGAACTTGATAATGGGGAAACGATGACATAACTGATTGCATGGATTAGAAGTTTCCACTTGTCAACTTCCTCGTCCTTGTTAAAAAAACAAAGTTAAAAAATACTAATACATTTGTAGACTGTCTTTATGCAAGGTAGAAAAAAAATGATTGTTGAGACCTTTGAAGATGTGGTCGGGTTTAGTGGTTCTGTTACGTGTTAACTCTCTGGCCGTTTGTCGTCTCCACTCAAAGTAAATGTTGTTCAATTCATCTCGTTTCCAACCACACAGATTTTCTGTCTCAAAGTCACACGATTTCTCTGGTTCTTCGTCTGAAATGTTCATTTAGGACAGTTACTAAAAATCTGATAATCTCCAAGTCACATGAACCTCTGTTATATTTGTTTCCTCTACATTTTAGAAAGCCCTGTACTTTCATATTTAAAATGTAGAAAAGGACCCATAATTCAGATCAAATTCAAACATAATCAATATAATGAGATGCTCAACCATCGATTAAACATTGTGCACGATTTTATTTGTGTAAAATTTTTATTTATTTATTTATTTTGCTTTTGTTTGTTTGCTTGCTTGCTCGTTTTAAAACTACTTACAAATACAGTGGGGTAATAAATTGCTACTCCAAGATAAACCATCACAATAAATAAAGTCTGTCCCTTTCAATTTTAGGCCATATTTACAAGAAAATTCCAGAAGCCCACCATTCAGACTTTTGCGAATTGATAAATACTTGTCGTATCCTTTTACTTCTGGGCACCGTGTACCATTAGCTAAAAAACAAATGTGCAAAAACTTTACAGTAAAATCTCTGTAACCTCCATAGATCAAATATGACCATAAACTGTTCAGGAAAAATAATTAGATTACAGTAAAACTCGTTTATAAGGAACTCGGATGTAAGGAAATCTAGGTTATAAGGAACCCCATCCACATTTTAATTTCTTATATGGATAAAAAGAATTTCGGTTAAAAGGAACTAAAAATTTATGTTTCAAGACTTTCTATCAAGCAAGTTGTTTTCTACATTATAGACAGGAAATCGTCATATGTTTTCCAACAACTTTTTTTACTGTACATGAACAAAGCACTTGATGAAGACAGGTCGAACAAAACTTACCGACACAGACAGGTAGAGGATAATACCATTGACCTTTATCACAAAAATTGTCCGATCTGCCATGAGGTTCGAATGATTCTCTACAAAAAAATAATATGTAGCTGGCCCAGTCTCGTACATGAACTCTACCATTGTTAATGCTAGGCTTCTCGCAGTTAAGGAGAGGTTCTGCAAAATCAAGAAGGTTCCCTTAAAGCAAAACTGAATTTATCATCTATATACTAATATATACTAATATATATATATATATATATATATATATATATATATATATATATATATATATATATATATATATATATATATATATATATATACTGTATATATCTTACAACAACTCTTAAACTAACATAACTCCCCTAAGTGAAGAGATATTAATGTAGAAAGCACAGAGAAATTCACTTTATCAGGATACCCACTTCCGCCACGACCCGAGGTTGAACTCTCGACCTGCGGAATCTGTATTCTAGCAGTACAGGAACAGCGCGCTAGACCACTTGGCCATCTAGGCAAGTAAAAAAAACTTGCTTTTGATGCCGACTGAATTCTCACGGCGCCGCCCTACACTACACGGTCATTGAGAATGGAAGTGAGGTACAGTTATTTGGACATTAGTTTTATTAGAGGATTATTAGATTTCTTTGTGCTTTTTATTAATATATTTTAGGAATGACTCTAATTCTTGGCCAAATTATTCGAGTATAACCTGGTTTGGGTCAGTTTACGCTTTATAATCCGCGAAACGGATTATAAAACAGCGTAAACTGACCCAAACCAGGTTATACTCGAATAATTTGGCCAAGAATAAGAGTCAGTCCTTATAATTTAATTTAAAAACCATTAAATAACTATGGATGTAAAATTTCGTTGCTTTTTATTAGTTCAAATTTGCCGCTCAATAATACAACCATAGTAACGGAAGTAACGGAAGTGATGGGAAGCGAGGGGAGGTAAAAACTGACACATAGGCCTAGCAGCCTTGTTGTTTGTTTACATGTGGTAAGATCGAATTATTGTTTGAAGTTAAAGGTACATTTATTAAATCTGGAATTTTCCATGAACCCCGAGGACTGGAAATGAGAGGACTGTATGGATACAGATGATTCAGCTGGTTGTCGGGGGGGGGGGGGGGGGGGTCCCCATACCAAACCAGGTTATACAGAAATAATTTGTGTTCCTTTTTTAATATTAACCAATCAGAGGCTAGAATACAAACAAAATTAAATTATTTATGAATGTATAAAGATATCTCGTTACTGGTGATTTATGAATGTGTCACCGGTAAATTGATATTATCTCTCACATGCAATGCAATACAAAACAGCTGTGGTGTTTGTGTTATACTTTTAATTGTTTTCCAGTGATTTGAATGAATTAATTTCAGTATATATTATAATTGTACTGGATAATATTTACTTTTGCTGCCTGAAATGTATTAAAAATTTTAGAACGTAAATACTATTTGGTGATGTTTACATAAGTTTTCTGACTATTGGGTTAAAACATACTATACATAGAAGATGTTTTATAAAGGCAATAACAAAGGCAGAAAATGGAGGATTTCATATATTGGCGTGAATTGGAATGTTTAAGAAATATTAAACGAAGTGCTTAGATCACATACACAGGTAAACGTTTACATTATAGTGAGTAAAGAAACGAGCTATTTAATTACCTCTTGTACACCATGAGAAAGAGAAGTCATCAATTGCTATGTCGCCACGGAAATCATCCCCTCGAGTTGCAGTGATGACAATCTAAAATAGAAAGGTGACTAATATAATAATGCAGTTATTGCGTTTATTTCAGATTTAGATTAACGTTTTCTGTCCAGCGTATTTCACGAAAGAGAGTAAAATAGGGGTAATGATGCATGAAAAAGAAAGTTCCAAAACCTGAACAAAAGATGTCCGCTTCTTGATTTGCAGTGAACCCTTATGCCAGAAATCCCCTTGATTTCCGGAAACATTCCACACAGCAACTCTATTTAAACTCTTATTATCGTAGTCAAATACTTCAATTTCCAGTGACCCTACATCTAAAAGTACAAGTTAAACATCATTTCTGATTTTTTTTTATCTAAAGGTTTGGGAAAAGAAGTTAATTATAAAAGAGAAATTTTCAAACTACCAGGTTCTTCGTCAAAAATTTCCAAAGTTTCCTCTAACAAATATTTCCTTTAGAGCTGGAGGGAAAAACAGGGTATACGTATCAGAAACACAGATATACAGATAAAATCAATACCTTATATTTTATCTATTTTATTTCATTTTACTGGTATCTAGTTGATATTCATTACTGTTTACTTCTTAAGGATACTTTTTTATGCTTCCTTTTAATTTTTGATATCCCAATATTTTCACACAGTATGCAAAGCTTTTATGCAGTGAACGGTATTGTGTATCCCTTATGTTGTGTACTGTGATAAAGTGTATCCCGTTGACTATTATACAACTCCAGCGTCACTGAAGATTTTTTGAAATGCCTGTATGATTTATATTTACGATTCAAAATTCAAACTGAAGTTTATTGCCACTTTTTTAACAATAGATTTGTAAGGCGATCAATATGGAATAAAATGAGCCTTTATATGTATGGAACATTAGTCAGCATAATTATATTATAGGACAGTCCACATTATAATATTGTGTAGAAATAGTAGTACATGTAATGATTTTGATACTTAACGCATCCTTTTCGGGTCGTGCACCATATTCCAAACACAGATCATTATTCTGACTTAGTACGTGCAAAACATAAATTATAAGCACAACTTTTTTTCTAGTATATAATTAATTAGCTGTTCTTGTTACCATTTTTTCCATCTGGTCCCAGCATATGATAGTAGAAATCTAAACAGACACCTGCCGCCTTCGGTGTGTACAATGGAGATATAATTCTAGGGTATTCCCCAGGCTCTCTTTCTCTAGATGCTTTCATAAATAAGTAGTTGCCTACAAAATATCCGCTATCGCTAAAACAAATTTTGATAGAGATCTGTAAAAGAGTATGTACATAGTTACTGCTGAAACACATATTTGTCACAAAGGAAAAGAAAGGCTAAGACCCCTTTTTTGGTCCCTGGTTTGGGGTGTCTTTTAGAATGATGCAACAATTTATCAATGAAAACCTGTTGTCACTCCTACCATAAAATGAGTATTGATTCTATGTTATGGAATACACAGAGGTCACAGGAAGGTCAGAAAATGTCAATTTCCAATTTTCTCATTTTATGCTAATTTTCATTGATTTTACAGCACATTTTGTTTCAGAAAACATAGAGCACAAGCTTCCTTATCGACCAAATTTATATATTTCATACACTAGCATCAGATGCATCTTGTGTATAAAATCTCAGATAGGCAAGCTTGTGCTCTATGTTTCCCGAAGTGAAAAGTATCTTAAATTTGACGAAATTTCACCAGAATTGAAGAAATTCGGGAAATGTCTTACTTCTGCACCTTCTTGTGGCCTTCGTGTAAGCTTTGAATGAAAATTAGTGAAGGTTTTAAAACAAGCATCATTTTAAGCTCTTAGCAACAAACTATCACAGTTTTAACTGTGTTCCGATTTTTACATCAAATAAGGGGCCATATTCGGCAATTACCATACCTTGTCCTTTCCATATCAAACCACTCTTACCTTTTTATTCTCACCTTATCCATGCTTTTATCTCTGCATTGAAATTGAATTTAAATCAAAAATAATTATAATAATAATAAAATAACCTGAAATGAATACAAATTCACTATGTTACCAAGTAACAAATTACTTTGAACCTAAAAACAGAAAAAACAAAAAATTATTATCAATCCCAACTTTCTCCGGGTTTTGGGTGTCCTAGGACCTTCAAGTGATCAAGGTTGTTAACAATGTGCACGTGATAAAAGTGAAATATACTAGTAATTATGGTAAAGGTTTGTTAAAAAAATACTTTCAGAAGAAAATTCACTACAGTTTCGTCACCAAAATAGATGTTCGATAAAGTCTGTAATCCTTTTTCCCACAATCTAATTAATTGCGTTGTACGGTGTCATATAAATCTTTATCATAGTTTAGGACCTCCATAGGCTACGCACATGTACATCCCGTCCTTCCCATGAATCTGATCTGTTTACGGTTACGAGTGAAGAATTCACACATTTATTAAAATAAGTGCCATTTGTCTATCTTTTGTTTACTTTGGGGAGGGGGGTATCAAAAATTCACTTCAGAAATAATAAGGATGATGTAACATGACTAGATTACACAAATTTTATTAAATGTTGAATGTCTAAAAAAAGTTAATAATTATACAGTATATGAGCGATTTGTTAGCATTATATATTAGGGTGCATTCAATCGTCAGACCTATACCTTTAACGGAATAGTTGTGTTCAAATTTTATACCTTTAATGGAATGGATGGTATAAGATCTACATGTTTAACGGAATAATTTTTTTTTTCAAACCTATACCTTTGACATGATAGCTGTGGTCAGACCTACGCCTTCAACTGAAAAGTGGTGGATAGACCTATACTTTCAACTAAATAGTTGTCAGTCCTTTAGTTTTAACGGAATAACTATTGTAAGACCAAAATAGTTCCGACATATACCTTCAATGGAATAGTTTTAGTCAGACCTATACATTTAACGGAGTAGTTGAAGGAAGACCTATGCTTTTATCGAAATAAGTGTGGTCAAACCTATTTTATATTGGTCAGTTGTGGTCAGAGCTACCTCTTCAACGGAATAGTTGTCATCAGACCTATGTTCCTTTAACAGAAACGTCCTATGCCTTCAATGGAATAGCTACGGCCAGATCCATACATCTATCAGAAATCGGTCACAATAGCTAAGTGGTAGGGCATTCGCTTCATGATCGGGAGGTTCGGGTTCGGGTCTCGTTCTCCGCACTGCGTCAACCCTAAAACGGAAAAATAGGTAGCGACTGTTCCTTTGAAAGCGTCCAGCACGAGAAGTGAAAGTTATGGGTCTTTCGGATGAGACCTTAAAAACCGAGGTCCCGTGTTACGGTAGGCGTTGGCATGATGAAGAACCCTCACTGCTCAATTGCCCTGCGTGCTGAGTATACATGTTGGTCTATATTTGAAGCCCTTCCTATGTATATGGTGAGGTCTCTATGTGAGTGAAAAATTCTCGAATGGAGCGTAAGCAGCATACAATGAATCAATCAATACCTTTAACAGAATAGTTCAAACGTATACCTTTAACAGAATAGTTGTGGTCAGACCAAGGTCCAGTTCCATTGATGTGTTTGTTCTGAGCAGCCGTTGCTTGTATCCAGTCAAAGTTAAAACTGTCTGATTTATCTTGGATCCACCCGCATAAATCTGCTGTTTCGAAGTCACATAATTTCACTGGATATTGGACTGCAATATTCATTAGGTTATGTTATGCATTTCTCAGTTAATTCACCCATATAAAATTATATTAAACTCTTATGATATATCAAAATCTAATTCTACAATAAGGTTGCACAAAAATCTCACAGTATAAATCAAATTGCATTACATTAAATGTAGATTGCATTATCTAAATGAATATTATGATATCTTAAATATTGCTAATTATTGCTTGTTTTACCTTTTTATTATTTTTTATTTATTTATTTATTTATTTATTTATTTATTTATTTATTTATTTTGGTTAAACAAATTATTTAAAGTTTCTAATGTTTGCTATATCACACATAAATCGTAAAAGTTTCGAAAATTTAACATAATTCTCTCCTCTTAAAGTAACAGCAATATGGCGTTATTCCCACTACCTAGATATTGAATGACTGATTTACCAATGCATATTGGAGGTTTGCTACTCCATGAAGACCCATCACAATAGATAAACCTGTTCCCATGTAAAAGTAAACCAGAGCTGCAGGAGAATTTCAGAAGTCCACCATTCCGCTTTTTAGGAACTAACAGATCTCTGTCTACTGATATATTACGACATTTTTCACCAGCCGCTGAAAAAAGATACTACTAGGAAAAAATGCAATATGTAAAACTATTCAATCAAATATGAGGATAGTAAAGGTCTTAAAAATAAACTTACCTGCGCAAACAGGTGTACGAACATACGAATACTCATTACAGAGAGCCCTCTTCCGTCCATAACGTTTGAATCCCTTTTCACAACGAAACTTAAAAAGGCGTCCCCTGAATATCTCTTGAACATGACCATTCTTAAGTGTTGGCCTTGTACAATTATAAGTGCGTTCTGTGAACGAAATAATGATTAATATACTTTGTATTCTGCAATGCAAGTGATTGTTGCAAAATTTCATTCTATTCCTATAATTCGCTTGGATTAAAAACAAGTGTTGCTACCATCTTCATGTTGAAAGCTTTGATACGGCCAGGAATCGGATATAATTTCAACAGAAAAGAAACAGAAAATGATCAAATCTAAGGAGATGGGTGAACATGACGAGCGATAAGCCTATAATGTGACAAACATGAAGATGAAAAATTAAATTTCCATTATATCAAAATTTTCTTTGATATTTCGTCTAACATTAAAATATACTTTATGTAAAATCTCTACAATTTGCAAAAATCCCTCAAAGATTGAAATTATTTGCCTGTGAAATATTAGACACGCACTAAAGCGGGCAAAAGGAGTCATTTTCACATACTATAACACTATTTTTCGATATGAGTGGGTCTTCGCTCCATCTTTTTGAAAGTTAATCCTCAAAGTCTGCATAAAAATATACATTTTTTGGTTACCAAAAATATGAAGCAAAGACCCACTATACCTTAAAAATATACTTTTATGACATAACATTCTCATTTTTTCGAGAAATACTTGAAGTCCATTAAGTCAAGGGTCATATCACAAACATGATTTAAATGCCACTGTTCGTCAGGACTTGTGTAGTCTAGTGGTTAGCGTGCTAGTCTCGAAAGAAAATGATTCTCAGGATTTTTATTGGTAGGATTCGAACCCCATGAATACCGCATTAAATTTATTAATAGAAGAATAAATTTTGCTGAGAAAATTTTCCTCAGAAAAGATTTGTTTATCACAATTACATAAATTTCAATAATGAGAACTTTACTCTAAATATTAAATTCACAAACTGAACATGATTTTTATATTCCTCAAGCTATAGGCTTTCTGCACGCTATGTTTGCCCATCTCCTTTGTTAAATCCTCGTCATATTGAATCTGGATGATGCCCATATCGAGTTTCAAAGCTTTCAAAGAAATGTTCTGGTTATCTAGAAAAATCAGCTGATTGTCAGAGGTAAGATACCTTTCACAGTCAAAAAATGTTAAAATTTTAAACCTAAGTATCAATACATCTATTGAAAAAATCAGAATAACCAGATAATAATAAGAAGAATGGCCAGGTTCACACGGGGTAAATGTCTAGAATCAAAAATATATAATCGACCTACCGACACAAACTGGCATAGGATCTCTCCACTCAGGGACATCACTGTGACAAACATTTAAATCCTTCCCAACAAGTTTGAATCTTCTTTTACAACGAAAGTAAACGATGCCATGTTTTCTGCTCATTTTAACTCTTCCATTTTTCAGTTCTGGCATTTTACAATTATAGAGTCCTGCTGCAAAAAAAAAAAAAATTTATTTATATGATAAAATGATTAAACATATGGTTCTTGTCTCTGATACCAAATCGTATTAATTTTAAACGAACATCTATACAAGCAGGTTTTAAACATTGCAGATATTAATTGCACCAACAATATTTTTTTTATATTTATCGGTTATTTTATTAAATAAGACATACTACACTTTAAAAGTGTACAATGCATGTATGTATATATGTAAATAAGTTATCGCTTTATTTCTAAAAATTGATATATGATAAGGAGCTCCATTGTATCTACTAGATCTTATGAAGGTGCTCGAAAACCAATTACTTTGGGGGCATTAAGTAAATAAACAAGATTTCAGAAGCTCTGATGAGACTTTAATGAAACATGTCATATTATTGATGCTTGTGAAACATGTCATATTATTGATGCTTCAGTTTTCACCACGGATACAATATTTGTGGATTTAACTCACCCGATACTCCACATGATATACTGATTTAAACTTCTTCAATCAGTTGCCATGTTTTTAGCTTTATAAATAATATTTTTTCGTACATTTGAAGTGTATAAAAAATTGCTTTCTGACAAACGTGCATGTGTACCTCTAGTATAAAACTGTGGCATACAATGCACAGGAAACAATATGAAATATTCTGTTTACTACTGAATTTCTTTGTGGAAACTGGTTTTTAGCTAAAACCTTTGAATAGGTCAAGAGAGACAACGAGTTTTGTAGCATTGACATCCATAGAAGCATTCAAAGGGGTGATAGGAATGGCAAACAAATTAAAATAAAATTAATTTTTTAGCTTTATAGATTATAATTCTATTTATGAAATTATATCTGTAGACTCAATAATACTTCGTTTGAAAAAAAATCATAAAAAAATCATTTAATGACATAAGTGAAGATGAAGCAGTGATCGATCTAAAAAAAAAAAAAAAAAAAAAAAAACTTTAGTTAAGATGGCGCACAGTGATCGATCTAAAAAAAAAAAAAACAGACAAAGAATACAAATCTGTGAACGGGGCATAAAAACGGACGCCTGGAACTTCAAATGTTAAACCCCTGGAAATTTAAACGTTAAATTCGTCGGTAGAGTTTGACAAAAGAATAACCATATGTAGAGTAACAAACTTACCATCAGCATATTCTGATATTAGAAAAATAGCAAGTAGGCTTACAAAATAATTCCCTTTCATGTTTAATGACAGTACTTTTAGAGGGATAAAATATAAGATATACATTGCGAAATACAAGAAGCGCCTTTTTATTAAGTGGTCGCCTGATCTTACTGATATTTGACTTTTAAGTGGTTATCGCCTTGACATGAGGACCTAGTTTCAGACTACAATAAGGAGCCAATCGAAAACGAAGAACAAAGATTATTGTTTATATTTAATTTTCTACTTCAAACTCATTCTCACAAAACATTCCTAACTCTAAAAATGATAGAGCATTCTTTAATCATCTTTAATGAAGCCATACAGTGAGAAATATTCTGACAATTTCAAATGTTCCAAGTTATATCAGAAAGATATGGCAATGCTAAAAGAAATTAAAATTTTTCCAATTACGACTACTTTGGCGAAAAGACTTCACTGCTAATTTACTGAACATTATTTCTAAGTTCTTCAAAACTATACAATCACTTTTGTATGATGATTTATATGTAACGTAATAAATTTATTAGAGAGTTTAATGATCTTGTCTTCATTCTAGCTCTGTTCCGTTACAAAATAAGGAAACAGCAGATGTGGGATCAGGTGCCTAGGAGGAGTGGACATTCCCTGCGTCCTTAGCATTGATCAGAAACGAAGTAATCCATAGTTAAAACCAGGTAAAATAACTATGAAATACGTCAATATACAACAAAAGCTTGTATTTGCAAACAAGGTCATTTTATTGACCATAGAATTTCCGAAATGTTGACTTTGAACAAGATTGTCGAAAGTCCTGTAGCATCAGCTTATTTTTCAGTAGCTAAAACATCGATCTTCTCTAAACACTAGACCGTACAAGATTAATCAATATTTTTCTTTTGTTTGTTCCAACAATATGCTTATAATAATGAAGATATGAAAGTTTTTATTACATTTTCAAAAGTGAAATACTATTATTTATCCCTTGAAGAAAATTGGTATGTAAGCAAGTGATATTTTCGCAATAAAAATATCAAAAGTGATAACAACCGGGGCAAACTCTATTTTGCTTTCCTTCTTGAAGATTGCTAAAAGAAAATACCCCTATAGATTGTGAAATTGAATAAACTATACAGAAATATAGACTTAAACTGCCAAAGTTTCTCCAACGTGCTGGTAAATCCATGTATACAATTTACAGTCTCATCATTGATTGTCTATGGCATCTCACGACCGCTCAACTATAACGTCAAAGCATATGACATTGCTGTAGGAAAAGACAGGGACAAAAGAAAAACCAAAGAAAAATAATGTAATAATAAAACAAAATCAATATTTTTAGTCTGGCTATAGCAGACACTTTTTTTTTCGAAAAACAAATATCACTGCTTTTTATCTGTAATAACGTTCTTTCAATCGTTTTATTATCAGTCTTTTTTGCATACATTTAAAAAAAAAACACAATTTATTGTGTTAATAGAATAATTTTACTAGATAATTGCCTAAAATAAAGTAAGCGTGTTTTGAAATTCAAAGTTTGTGTCGTTCTTCGATCGTCTCTTTGGAACTCACATTTGGGTGTTCAAAAAATAGTGATTAAATTTCAAAATCTGATTTTTAAAAAAATATTTGCTGAATGTTAAATGATAAAATATTTATTTATATATATCTTTGAACATTTACACTACACTATAGAGTCTATAAAGTTTATCTATAGAGCACGCTGCGCTCGCTATTACTTAAATAAATAATCTAAATACATTCATCTGTTTAGTTTAAAATATATGTATATAATCTATTTGTTAATTGATTATTTATAATTTTTAATTTATTTTATTCATTCATTTATTAAATCATACATAAAATGTCTATATACTTTTCATAGGTTATGGTCAAAAATAGATATTAAAGGGGCTTGGACACAAAACCAATTCACCAGTATTGTCAGTCCCTGCGCAATGATGTGTGCAGAGTTTAACAAATTGAACACACCGGGAAACGTAAACTGTTTTTGTAAAAAGGGCACGAGCTCTGTTATTGTTAATGTTTACGATTCGCCGGATGTGTTCAATTTGTTAAACTCTGCACACATCACTGAGCACGGACTGACAATACTGATGAGTTAGTTCTGTTTTCTCACAGTTTCTATTCTGAATTTTCTGGATTATAGTTTTAATATTGTTCATTAATACACAACTAAATTTCTACTTTTCTTAAGTATTAAGGATAAAGTTTAGTTTTGTGAAAATGCAAGGATGTGTCATTCAAACGCGTCCCGAAATTTGTAGCTTCAATATTTTCCAGATAAAATAAGTTTTTTTATTATATTTTCGTGTGAAATGCTATAGTAACATATAAGTCATGATATTATACAGAAAATTTGAGGAAATATTAACTTCAAATCTGTGATCTAAGCCCCTTTAATATTAAAATGAACTTTCACTTTGATATTGGTAATATGTTTTAATACGAGAGGTGATCAAAAAGTTCGCGAACTATCTCTATATTTACAAAACCACAATCCAGATCAGAATGAAATTTCGCACACATATTGTCATACACATATTCTATTAATAACAGGTGTTATATAATGTTTTGCAAAGTGTTTGTGACGTCACAATGTGAAAATGACGTCAGTATGTATGTGACTTGTTGCAAAAAATGGTTGACTCAGTCGTACTCGAACAACGAACGGATGAAAAGTTTAACGTATATCTTGGAAATTCCTTTACAGTAGAATATGATAATTTGTACAAGGTTTATGAAGGCAAAAGACTTACCAGAAGTTCAATCATTAATTGAATTGATCGTTTTAGTGAAGACAGGGAGATGGTTAAAAATGACGTTTGTTCTGTTGCCCAGCGAAAGCAAACGGGGAAAAGATGTGTCCTTAGTTGGGCAATTTGTTATGAAAGATCGCCAAGTTACAATTAGAAAAATAGTTGAATATCTTAACAATAATATAATTATTAAATCCCTAAAATATCGTTTACTTTAGACTTTAAACATATGAGATATGATAAAAAGAGGTCATCGATACTTTATTCATATTGGATAAACGACGCTCCCGAGACAGAGGACTCGGGTTTTGATGATCACCATGCTAATTCTGGGAAGGGATATCTTTATCTACTCATCCTATTGCCGATATTTGGCCATTTCTGACAGATGGACTGTTCTTGTTATAAAAAATAACTTGCACGGTAAGAAATATAAGACTCCGAAAAATCTTTTAGCTTCTGTGAACAGAAAGCCACGGAGCATGTCACATGACCGCCTTGATCACGTGATTCGCGCATGGGCAGAACAATGGCAGATGTGCATTTTAATCGGAGAAGACTACTTTAAAAAAATAATGAACATTGAAACCTCATTTTATTTCTTTTAAGGAAGTAATTCAATTAGTTTGCGAATTTTTTGATCACCCCTTTTGTAGGTATTGGGTTAATAAATCGTACATCCCAGGTGATATTACAGGTAGTAAGCTTAAAATGAACCATACACAGGTGTCCACCCAGGTGTGAAAAATCCCAACTAAGGCTAGATAAGGGAATAAAAAATTTAAGAAAAAAATTCCCAGGTGGGAATAAACCCCAATTTCAAATACGTCATGTGCAATAGAGCGCTACAAATCATATCGAGTGCTTATACCGTGGGTGAAATTCAGAGATAATTCGATTTGAAAATTCTGAAAAAGCAAGATGTTTCATTGCTACATAAATCTTCCATATGTGCATCTAGTGATAACCGAGGTATGTGTCAGGTTCATAAACACATTGCCTTTCATATCCTGTTTCCCTTGTGTGGTGGTCCCAGACAATCTCAGAACTCTATGAGAAATAGCTTAATTCTGCTGTCAACATCTTGCACTACGCACTCATTTGATAGACATTGAGTTGGTTTACTCGATTTTTACCAGGAAGTATAATACTTGATAACATATTAATACTACAATGTACATGCGTATGAGTTATGAATTGAGCGCCTGATGACAATAAAACATTGTACTGATGTACTTGGTTTTACCATGCACAGATTTTATCGGATTTGCATATATTCTCTCTAGTAAATTGCAAAAATAGGGTATATTTGACTTGATTATATTTCATTGAAAAAGTCAAAGAGATAAGACGCAAGTTCTATAACTTATGCAGACTTCTCATTATACAGAATTTTATAAAATTGCCATAATACAAGTACAATTATTTGGTCACTAACAAATACATCAGTAGTGTCAACAACTGAAAATTCTTGATATGCAAAATATAATTCTTTATAAAACTAAGATTTTGGTGGTTGAAGTAATAATTATTGCATTTCTTGATATTTTAAAACGATAGGAATTCCCCTTTCCTAAGCATAAATTTCAATAATGTAGCTTATGAATAGTACTGTTTATGACTACAGAGACTGAAATTAAATTTGATTCCAAAAGGATTGACATTTTCTTGTATTATGTAAACAAATAAAATAGGTGGCATCTGCTATTTCCCTAAGTGCCTTTCACTGGGGATAGTGAAACTTTTTTGCAAATACTTAATCAACAGGAGGGGTTAGATAAGAATCAATTAGTATATCAGAGTCATAAATTATTTATTTCTCAGAAGCATGAAAAAAAAAATCTGAATGTCTTTTCAAAAACTTTCAAATTTGCATAATTAGCTATGATTTATCAAATTTTGGAGCTTTTTAAAAATTCTGGGTAGGATCCATCCTTATGAAAAAATTGACACAAATGTGACTTTATTTCATCTTATTAACATCAAAACCATGCAATTGTATATATATTTTATTCATCACAGTCACAACTATATCGAGGTCTGATCACAGGAATGAAAGTTATTCATTCCCTGAAACACTACTTGCAGCAGGGAGGTGTCATTATTAAAGATGGCCACAGTTTCCAAGACACTGAAGTGACAGGCCTCAAATTTCATACATATACATTAGTAGGTGATATATGTGGAGATAACAAATAGTATTCGAGCTCAATAGTCCACTAAACATTGCAAAATAAGAGCAGAGCAATCACGGACCTCTAAGATATCAGAGGTGGGATCGGGTGC